TTAAAGTTTTCTTCTTTTTCAGCTAATTGTTTCTTCAATAATTCTATTTCATTCATTAGTGTTTTGTTTGCTTGTTGGTGTTTGTTTATAATGTTTACCATGTTTGTTCTTTTTTTATATATATTCTTTTAATATACTTATATCCTTTTTATAAGGGTGTATTAAGTATATAAGTTATTTTAGTACTTTTTTACTTTAAAGCTAACAATATTTGTCAAAAGATTAAATTTAATGACAGTAAGGGGACAAATTAACAGGTGTGATAAAGTAATGAAGGTGTTTTTGTTCTAAATATTTTATTTGTTGCCAGTATAAAATGGTCTTGGGCAAGTAATATCTTTGTATTCATCTTTCACAAATGGGCGAATATTCTGGTAAAGATATTCTTGTCTTTTGTGATCCAAAGGGGGTGGTGTTAACACTAAAATAGATAAAGTTCTAATTTCTTCAAAAATATTTGCTTTCCTAGTTTTCAATAAATTGAATTCAACAAAAGGTCCATTAGCAGTTTCCTGAGCTTTGACTATACCAAGATTAGGTGCTTCAAAAAGAAAATGTTGATATTTCTGTATACTTGGTAATTTCCTAAAATAAATTCCCAAAATTGCTTTAATATCTAAGTATTGAAATCCTTTTCCACCTTCATAACACTGGACTTTATTTAATCCAGCTGGACTAGACTTTTTTATTACCTCAACCACATGATCCAGACAATCTACTCTTGTTCTTCTATAGAGTTTTTTAATCATTCCAAAATTACCATCACATTTGAATTTAGTATGTCCTGGAATCATGAAATATAATTCAATAGTTTCATAATAACCACAAATTACTAAATATAAATAAAACCAAATTGTTACATTGTTTTTATTTTGTCCCCCAGCATTATCACAAGTAATCTTTAAATGCTTTTCACCTTTATTCAATTTCTTAATTCCATCAAAAATCATACTGAGTGCCATTGGGTCCTTTTCCTATAATTTCATCTTCATTAAGAACATAATTAATTTGTTCCCTTATTGCTTCATCTTTAATACCAAATAAATGAACTTTACATGGACTAAGGTAATATATTTTACTTACCTGTTGATCAGAATGGGGTACATGGACAGTTTGGGCTCAATCATAACTATAATGAGCAGTAGCATCAATACTGCAATACCATGTTTTACCCTTTGAATATTTTTGGTTAACCAGTTTTCTTTGCTCTTCTGCTAATTTAGTGTTTTTATTATAATAATTTCTTTCTAGTTTGGCCTTAGACAGATGTTCTTTAAATCTTTTAAGTAATTCTTTGGCTTCTTCTTCTTGGCAAGCATTATAATGTAAACCATCTCTAAAATGTTGACAAGTATCACACAAATCAGTCCTTGGACTCATAATTTGAATCTCTGGTGTCAATTGATGTCATAACTTTCTGAATGCATCATATTTTAAGAATTTCAATTTGCTATCTTCTTCTAGACCAACCAGAAAATCCCTATGGACTGATTTATAACTCATTTCAGCTGGTAATAATACAATTGATTGAGTTATTCTATTGATATTTCTTCCTGGACTTGGTAATCCATGAACTTCAGCATAATTTTCCAAAAAATTCTTTATTACTTCTGCAATGTTTTTATCAATCACCATCTTAGTTTTTCATCAAGGCATCCTTTTAATATTACCATGAATTCTTGGCAGAAGACCATTTTTTATCAGATGATTTCTAATATTTTCAAAATAAGTTCTACCAATCCCTAGCATATTGAGATAAGTTTCTTGACAAAGAAGTGTATTGTGATCCCAGTGATAGAAAGTTCTTTTGTTAGATCTATTTTTCTTTTTAAGGCGTCTACTGCACTTACTGTCCCACCATCCATTGCCTTAAGCTGGGCCATTAAAAATATGTCTTGTTCAGACTTGGAAAGAGCTTGAAAGGATTCTCTTAATTCTGCAAATTGTTCCTTGGGAATTCTTGAAGAACAACCACAATGACAACCTTTTTCTAAAAAATCAATTGCTTTTTGATATTCATTAAAACCATTATTAATTTTCATATACACTTATCCCTATATATAATTTTATGTTCATTTTGTAGGGTTTTCACTTGTAAATTTACAAAGACTTTAAAGCAATAACCATTAAACATATTTTGGTCTTTGAGAGACCTCTAAGAATTATAAGTATAGAAATGTAATCATCATTATTGGCTGAAATTTTATCATATATTTATTAAGAAAAATAGAAATTTAAAGCAAACATAATATATAGTGTTGATTAATTAATTAAAGATGTAACTTGTTATAATCAGTATTGTATTTTAATATCCTTATGTAATAAAATAATACTCAAAGTATATTATCTTTTGCATAAACTTGGCAGGCTTCTAGCAGTACATTCCTGGTGGCCAAGGTCCCCTTGTAGGATAATAACACGAAATCTTTTGGGTACAAGTGGTAACATTTTCCTTAACTTCTTAGTCATTTCATGTGATATATGCTCTTCTCTTCTGGTGTCATTTCATCTTCAAAATCATCCAAGTTGGCAATATCTTCATCATAACTATCTTCAGTCCTTGGATCTTTAGTTTGTGCTCTTTTCTCAAAAAAAGGGAAATAATTATGTATTCTTACTTGGTCATGATTATTTGTTAATTGGTCAGGTTTTGTAAGAATTACTTTTTTTAAAAATGAATTTAAAATACTCTTACGAACAAATACTTTTATTTTGTATGCGAAGATAATTATTATTTTATTATTTTATGAAATGTTCATTATATATTAACAAGATCACACAGATTGATAAAGGGGAATTGCTATTTCTCACCGGTGGTGATTGTCACCACCTAAGGAATTATACAATTTATGATTAACCCCAACCCTAA